AGAAGCTAAAAGACATATGGACCGTGCACTGTGCAAAAGAAGTTTTGGTGCAATGAAAAGTACTGCTCACACACCTTGGACACTTCAAGCATTGTTTTTTTTTTTTTTTTTGAAATATTAAACTGCATGCCACTAACTGTGTAACTGGCTTGCCCAGCTCCATGCATGCTGTGTGTGTGTGTGTGTGAAGTGTGTGCTGTTGTTCTGACCCATCCGCAGAGCATGCGCTCATGTGTGGACAGCCCTGCACTGCTCCCCCCTCCCTGCCCCTGGCGCCGACCCAGGGCAGGCAGCGAGGGCCACTGCAAGCCTTCCACCTCCACCTCCACCTCCACCCCCACCTCCACCTCCACTCCCACCAGCAGACAGCTCAGCCACACACTGCCACACACTGCTGTAAGTGCTCCACACACCAGCACACACCGCCTTGAGGGTTACTGTAAGGGTTTTACACACACATGAAACATGTCCACACTGCTGTAAGTGTCACACAGGATTACACATGTTCTCTTTTCCTAGCAGTCTCTGTGCTGGCACCAGGGCCAATGAGTCTTTCTATGAACTGGCAGTATTTCCACTGAGAGTCACACACGTATGCAGACAAAAACAAGATATAACACCAGCTATTGCAGTCACAGACTGTGTTTAGACAGTGTGCAAGCCAAAGATAAAAGTTTTTGTAGTGTTTGGTTTTTTTTTCCGTTTATTATTAATTGGCCCAAGGAATTGGACAGTAGCCTATGTAACTACATTTCATGAACAGCATCAGAAATGTGTTCCAGCTGCTTTAACAGTGTTTAAAAAGGGATAATATAGTGCTCATATTATATATCTGTGAACAGTGCATATTGTTAAGTTGACAGAACATGCATTTGACTACAGTGGTACAGCAACAAACACCTGAAACAGAGCCGCATCTTAAATTCGTACATCACTTTCATTTTCCATTATCACATCCTATGCCATTTAATCGTTGTCTTCATTTACTTTTAAAAAAGTGTACAGGCTGTTGCTCTATACAGGCTCGAACTGACATCGTGTCTGGTGGGATGTGTCTTTTCGTCCTGCTGCTGTTGTTTTGATCAGCAGGACTCTGAGGACGAGGAGACAGATGTGCACATGACTCTGAATCTCAATCGGGGCCCTCAGGACCACAGCGGCTTCCAGCCTTATATCCCAGAGGACTTTGCAAACTTTGAGATCTACAACGCCACTCTGGAGAGCCAGGAGGGGTTTTTACCCTCTCGTTCTGACATGAAGGGAAGCCGGTGCGGAGGCGGGAGCGGAGAGAGAGAGGTGCCACGAAGCCCCACGGCCAGCAGTTGCACTAGTGGCTACTTTTCACACAGTGCCTCCAACGCCACGCTGTCTGACATGCCTTTCAGTGCCAGTGAGAGCTCTGACCACCTCAGCTGCACCTCCAGAGACACCCAGGACCCCCTCGGCTGTCCCGCTGGACGAGGCTGCACCCAAACCAAAAGTGTTTCTGCAGGGAGTGACGCCCAACTGCCTCCTCCATCAGCACGTGGGCTACAGGAACAACTCACTCACCATCAGGGCTCCTCATCTGTCAGTATTCTTAATTGCACAGACAAGCAGCCAACATTCCCTCTGCCTCACAACTGTGTTCTCAGCACCAGCCAGGAATTCACTGACTTTAAAGGGGCTGATGACAGTATTGGAGAGAGTGATTTAGGACATTTTACAGAGGGATGGGAGCAGGAGGGTTTGGAGCAGAAGAAACCAGATAATGCAGAAAAACGTGACACTGGCAATCAAGACTCCTCTGTTGTCCCTGGAATTATCGACACATCTAATCCTGAAAATGCAATATGCAAATGTCCTGACAATGAAGACTCTGTTAGTGTACCTGTGTCCTGCCCTAACTCAACTGTAGTTTGCACCTCAGTCAGAGCTCCAGTAAGTGCGTCTGACAAAGTCCCAGCTCCATCTCCAGCCCAAATAATTCCCTCTGCATCAGTCCCACCTCCAGCATCACCATCCCTAGTCACCCCTCCATCTACAGCCCCATCCTCTGCCCCAGCTCCGCGAGCAGGAGGAGAACCTCCCATCCAGGAGCCAGCACAAGGAGACCTGCCCCACGGGAGTCCCTGCCCCAGCCCTAACCCCAGCAGTGCGGAGCCCTCGGGGGACTCCAGCGGGGATGAAAGCACCCCTGTGGCTCAGCTTCCTGACTGGATGGCCCCCGGGGAACAGGTGTGGGTGGGGAAGAGGAGAGGAACAGTCCACTACGTTGGAGGGGTAGAGTTTGCTAAGGGCATCTGGATTGGTGTGAAGCTGGACATGGCAGTGGGTGAGTAATGATTTTGCCCCAAAAAATAACCGTTACTAGTGCCCAACAAATGTATGTTTATAATGGAACAATTTAAGATTAACATATGTTTCAGATAATCTAGAAATAGCGTCGTTATCACGTAGTCTGTTCACCAGAGAGCACCGACAAGTTCATTTTTCAACTGTTAAATGCTCCACTCAGTACATATCCTGAGGGATCTTCATCATAGATGTTTGTCTTTCTGTGGCGTTTTTAATTAACCCTCAAATATTGAAGTCAATATCTGGATGACCAGATGAAAATGGGCCAAAAATTGCCTGCTTATTTTTATTATTGGTAATTTGAAGTTATTTAGGAATACCGTACATACCATGTACGTTTCCTCACAAGGCGGGTGATAATGTAATAATGTGATAATGTGTGAACTTGAGGGCAAGTACATTAAATTATCCAATGAAATTTGATTTGGGGCGACCATCAAATAAAACTGCACTGTTAGCTCGTGGGTCAAACAGAAACATATTCTACATTTTCAAAAGAGGGTAGGTTAGGTCTAATTTATTCATTTCCTCTCCTCTGCCTCCTGATCCAACAAAACAGGTAAGGGAGGTGTGGGTGGAGGCCAGCAGTCCTCTATAGCTCTGTTTTTTGTTTTTGCTCACTTGTGGCCCTGACCACATATTCTTTTCCCTCAGAAATGTGTCACATTATGAAAGATGAGTGCTTTAGTGGTGAATTAATTAACACAGGAGGCTTACACATAAGTTTAATCATCCAGGCTATCTGGTGTGGTAGTCATCAACAGACTGACTCATGGTTATTTATTAGGAAACCCGCTTTTTTATGCAAACGCTCTAAATGTAACATAGTAAGAAATTCAGGAAAAACAAATGATCCACTAAAGTCTCTAAATCTGTTATACTTGGCCCTCCTGTAGGAAAGCACAACGGGACTGTCCAGGGCAGAGTGTACTTCCGCTGCCCCCCAGGCCACGGTGTGTTTGTCAAGCCATCTCGTCTCACCAGAGGACCGCCCTCCATGGACACAGAACCCCAGACTCTGATCAGATAGGACCCAAAGAAGGACCAGCTTTCTGAGGGAAAGCAGAGACCTGAGCGTGGTCCTCAGATCCAGTGCCTATGGGTGAACTGCGGGCTGACTTCAGTCTCTGAGCTGATGTATTCTGTTGGCGTGTCTGCTTTCCTGACACGTACCTGACCTGTGCATTTAATGAAGGTATATCCTAATTACTGTTCACTGAAACTTCTCTATGCACATGTCTGACTTTTCTATACGTTGATATTTTTGATAGAGAACTTAACTTTTAACTGGGAGTCCATATGGAAACATTACCCACGTACTTTTTCTTAAATTGGTTTCTGAACAGTATATATAATATTTTTTATAAGACAATGCATCCACCCCTGAGGCTCATAGTGGAGTAATCTGGGAAATGAAGATTAAGAATGTACTACTGTTAATAAACATTGATATTTACATCAATATGATACGTCAGGGGTAACCAAAGAACTACGGTTCCATATCTGCTGTTATGAGTAATATGTTATTTTTCTAATGTACATATGTGGAGGTATTCACTATATATCTATGTGTCCAAGTAAAGCTTAGTGCCATATCTCTAGGAGTAATGCCACATACCCTGAACGGAGGACAAAACTGCAAAACCTGAGTTGCTTTCAGTGTTTGATTGCAGTTATGACATTAAATTATCCTGTTGAAGTACTGTAACACTGTGGAGGAAATAATCCCCATCCAGCATGAGACTGTTAATGTTTGAATGCTTGCACTGGAAAGGATTCTTGGAGAGTTCATCGACTGTCTTCCATATTGGACTGATGAAATATTTTCTAACTGAAGTAACTGAAGTGACTGAAGCAACGTGTGTCATCACTTTAATCCGTGGAACGAAGCAGCTAGGCTTTGTATAAGGCCTGGATATACTGATGCCTTATTGCCCTGTTCCCACAAAGAAAGGCACATAAACCCCAGACTACTCAATGAACTCCATAACAAGTTCGCTGAGTTATAAACAATAACAATCTGTATGGACCTGAAACCTGTGTATGTATATCATGATGCCCAGAGGCATTCAAAATGCCATCCAGCCTCGTTGACTGATTGATTGAATACCTTTTTAACTGACTGTTCATCTGCATTTTATATTTTAACTGACTGATGTTTAACACTACATGTCAAAAGGTACTCAATGATGCAATTTTTCACATGGGCGGTTGGATGAATGGGTGCTGGACAGTATCAGGCGAGGGAAAACGGTGCAAAAGTAGTGTAGTTATGGAGAGAAGTTGTCCGATGAACTTATATTTTTATGGAAGTGGTGAACTGTGGAACTGACAAGAAATAGTTATATATTCAAGAAATTGAAAGAAACCCAAGACCTTACTTTAAAGAAGAGAACAAAGCTGCTCTCCCTGAGAAGGAGTTGTAAATAGAAATGTATTTGAACATAGTATTTACACTATTATAATGTACAGAATTGTATTTATAATGTATCTCAAACTGTTTTAATTGGTACAAAATGTTCTAGAATAGAACATTTACAATCAAAGCACTGTGTCGACTCTTTATTCATTCATCTTGGTTGTGTATTGTGTATTTTTTAGCAGTATAGCTTAATATTTTAGTATAGCAGACACTGGGTATATAAAGTGTTGACCCATGGCATTTCATTGTGCTTCCAAAAGAGATATTCTGAAGGAATTTTGATTGTCCTCACAAAGTATAAGTATATATTGTATGTGAACAGAGGCGCAAAATTTCCTTTAACATCAACATGTGCCGTGAAAAGCAAAAAATGTCCCATAATTTATTCACCTGTGAATCTCATCTCGCCGACAAAGATCTTCTCAAGTCTTACCTTTCCCTTCAAATTCGGCACAGTCTTGCGGTTGTCAGTTGTTTTGAGTTCCCAAGTGTATCCACGATGTCATTTTAATATGCACAGTGTGACACAGCAATCCACACTATGCTCCAGTTCCCTAAAACAAAAAAATATCTTATTTCCTAATGGCCCTTTACATATGGCCCTTATGTCCATATGTAAAGTGGTCACACACGGGGAATAGATTTGCAGAGGATGTTGTAGTTATTTGAAATATGATTTTGTGTGAATACATTCTTGGAAAACAACTTTTTTTGTATATTTAGCCAAAAATACTTTAAAATACATACTTTAAATTATGTTAATATGCAGTAAATTTTACAAAGAACATGCAAACAGTGTTTCCTTTACTACAGTCATGTGTGCTCTACTTTCTGGTTACATAATGTGGTGCAATGGTCCCCTTGAACTTATCCTGTCTGTGGCTGATATAGAGACGTAAACAACAACCATGTAAACATGTTGTCACCCACAAATGATGCAGGCACAGTGGACTGCCCCATGCATGGAATGAGCCACTCAATTGAAGGTCTCTTATGTTTTCAAGTCCTCACCCACTATTAGCAGTGCAAATCGGTGTAGTTTTGCAAACGCTGCCAAATATACGTTTTCTCATAATTAGGCCGATATCACATTTGAGTTCATCTCACCAATTATCGTGTCACAGGGGGTCAACTGATGTATTTTTTTCAAATCTTGCGCCATATTATAAAAATATTCATGTGTTAGCAGTGGATGGACACAACCAATAGTAGACATTACATGTGGACAGAAATAATGCTGTAAATGTTAAATGTGTTGATTTATACATTGGCAGCTGGGATCGTAAAAAAAAATAACTTTTTAATGGGTCGTTTTTACATTTAGAAAAACACCTTCAGACCAAAGACTTAAGTATTTTCCACCTGAAATGTTTTCCTGGCAGTGTTTCAAACAGCACTTAGACCCATGTGTTTAGGAATACACTTTACACAAACAGTTTTCAATAAATGAATAAAATATGAAAAATCCAGTGAATGGAAAAAAAAAGGTTTGCAGTTTGCAAAATCCTGGTTAGAACCCAGGAAGTGATTAAGCAACCCCGTGTGGATTGCTCTAGTTCCCACTGTCTGTAGCTTTAATGATTTTACACCCAATCCATGTTGTCTCTGATGAATCTAAAAATCCTTCTCAAACGTGCCTCAACCCCTCTCCCTCCCCCCTCTCACTTTACTGTGAAAATGAGGAATGTGAAAATGAGAAAATTGGTTTTTCTCTGCTTGTCTTGTGCAGCCGCGTGTGTCCTTGCCACTGTTTTAGCAGCTGTGCAACAGTAGGTCTCCTGAACACAGTGGTCTGGATCTGGGTGGAGTTAAGTATCTGTGTCACACTGACAACTGGGAAACCTCCCGCGACAAACTAACAGGTGTCCACCTCCGCCTCCTCCTCCTCCTTCTTCAGATCCACAGTCACACCACCGAGGGGGCTGCCTGTCCGCGCTGCAGACTCTCTCCCTGCACATCTGAACGCTTTTCCTTACTTTATTTGACCTTAAAACTTCCAGGAAATCACTTATATACAGATACACACACACACACACCCACACACATATACATACATGATGCACTCGGCACAGAAAGACACCACCTTCACCAAGATCTTTGTGGGAGGTCTTCCTTATCACACAACGGACTCAAGTCTCAGGAAATATTTCGAAGTGTTTGGAGACATCGAGGAGGCTGTGGTCATCACTGATCGGCAGACGGGCAAATCCAGAGGTTATGGATTCGTAAGTAAAAACCTGTTGATATGACTCGAGTTTCAAGTAGCTTGCACACGTGCACAGTCGGTGATCAGGTCAATTGAATAACTATTGGCGCCCATCGAGGCTGAAAGAGTCGATTATACCGTTGACTGCTCTGCCAGGTTAGAAACAGGCCATTTGCAAGTGTTACTGTGGCAGAGCTGAACAGCACTGGTACTGGATGAGACATGTGACCACACATTATGAAGTGAAGTTATTTTTGGGTGCCTGTTGATCACTGTGACCAAACTATACAGTAAAATATCTCCATGTGGTGAATTGACTTTCTTATAGGTGACCATGGCAGACCGGGCCTCCGCTGATCGAGCCTGTAAGGACCCCAACCCCATTATAGATGGAAGGAAAGCCAATGTGAACCTGGCCTACCTGGGGGCCAAGCCTAGGGTCATACAGCCAGGTGAGGGGCTCATTTCACACAGCCAGAGGCTAAATACTCAATGTGCCATCCCAAGATGGCAGCCCTTTACACAGTCGCACGCAGGGGCCACCACTGCTATGTGGAGTTAATAAAAGTATCCTGCTAGAGGTAGATATAAATATAAGATAGAGCTTAGAATTACATCATTATTCTGATGTTTGAAGCATGAGAGCTTCCTGTAAACTGACTTACTCGGTTTCAGTTTTTCTGTTGTCTTGGAAGGGACACGCAGTCTTGCACAGGATCAGACCACTCTTTTGAACATCATCTCCAGTGCAAAGAAAGAAACTTTAAGATTTTAAACAAAAGCTTAATGGTAATAATTTGTTTTAATTCCAGGTTTTGCATTTGGCGTGCCTCAGATCCATCCAGCATTCATCCAAAGACCTTATGGGTATGTTAAGCTGCACAGCTTCCACGTCTTTCACAAAATCTTCTGTATGAAATGGAGAAAAAATGAAATCTGCTATTGCCTTTTATGATCTTCTATAATCTGTTTTTATTGTTGTAAACATGTATTTTATCATTGCCTCCACCTATTTAATCCTGATTGAGGACATGTGAGTGTTGATGTGTGCTCCTCTGCTTGGCGTTGACTGTGAAGGAAGTGAACGTTTGTCCCCAGCCACTACAGGACTTGACTTCATGTTGTCTATCTCTCTCTGATCTGACAGGGTCGGTAACGGTTAAAATAGCTGATGAAGGGACATGATGATTTGAGGAATAGCTGAGTCTGCATTGGGCAGAGCACTAAAGTGTTACCTGTATACTCTGACATACACAAACGAACTGAAATGGTGACTAGATGCATGGAAGTCTTATGTTTTTTTCTTTCTTTTTTTTTTTTTTTTTCAGTTTTCCATAGTACATAGATTGGTGTGTGCCTTGTTTTCAGTATGATGTGGTGTTCAGCTTAACTGTGTGCTTATTTCTACTTGCAGTGGGGGAGGTGGGGGGTGCAGGAGGTTTTTGTGCAGACTTTGTGAGTTTTTGATAGGGAGTTGTAACTCTGCAATGGGGTGTTGATTCTTTTCCCTTTTTTAATGATTGATTTGTGCTTTAGCCTGTGTCCCCCCCCCAGTTTTTTAGTTAACATTAAGTTGATCGTGTTTTGTTGTCAAATGGGGGCTGATGATCACTCACACTGTGTTCATTTTCAAAATCGATCCCCTACAACAAAACAAACACTGGCTTGCATGTGGGAGTTCTTTTTCTGTTTCCTTACCCATGATGCTGTGTTTTCTTTTCCCTTTTTTTAATTTTTTTTATTTTTTATTAACCCATTGCTTTCACTTGTAGCTTACGTCTACAGCTACGCGATACTGAGCGTACTTTTTTTCCTGGTAAACCGAAAATATCCTCTATCCTCTAAATGTGCAGGGGGAGTGAGAACATGCACATATAGTGTTTCCACCCCAGAAAAGCAAAGAAGAATATGTTCAATTCCCCCCAATGTTTTTATGATGGTAAAATGGCTCCAAATTAAAGCTGGGTCATACTCTGTATAAAACAGTTTTTAGATGTTAACTAACTACATATGCAATTATGGATTCATTATCACTTTGTGATAAACCAACAAAAAAGTCTTGTCTTTCTTTTTATACATAGACAAACGTTCAGTACACTGTAGGTTGGAGACAGAGATCTTAGCCGGTCTCTTAGGCAGCAGCTGTTGGCTACAGTGATCTCCATGGCCTCTCAAATTCAGATGGAAAATGGGAGTCACTCAGCAGCACTGTTAATAATGTATGGCACAGACAGGGCCGCTCAGCTGTGGACAACAGGTGGGCAGAGCCATGTGCCCATGAAGCCTTTTGGTTATGTGCTGGGGATTACCCATGTGTCCTGGTGATTTACAAAGCACCTTTATTTAGCTCTCGACGTGCAGGACCACAAAATGTTCATCCCGTCTCTTTCAGTAGACATGGCTTAAATCAGCTGTGCCCTTTTAACACTTGAACTCTTGATATTAAAACAATGTCAAATCCCAAAGAATGGATAACATGTTTGTTCCTATCTTATCAAATTGAAAATTATACATGTGCTTAGATTTATAGGCAAACTAACTTTTTTTTTGTGATCATTATGCAGCAGCAGTACAAAGCGGTTAGCTGCTTTTTACAGCAATGCATCCCACTTTGTAACAAGAGCACCACCTCTTGATCAGCAAGGACGCCTCCAGTCCGATGATAAATAAGTAAATTCAGGAAAGCCACTGAGGCAGTAGAGCGGTGTACGCAGCCATTACAGATGACCAGTCCACTGCCATGTGTCACTGAAGGAGAAGATCAGCTTGTCCTTTGGAGTTGACAAGGGGAGCAAAAATAGCATGCTTCCAGCCTCCCTTGTCAGTCAAGTTTGCGCGTGTATGTTTGTGTGGGGGTGTATGTCTGTAAGAAGGGGGAGGGGGCACTTTTCTATGGACAGATATAACAGTTTCACACCTGCTCCTCAATATATTTAATGAGGGTGAATTTAACACAAGTTTAAAGTGGGACCAAATTTAGCCAGATACCTAGGCTTGTATTTATCCCTTTATAACCTGGTCTATATACAGAATATTGCTCTTCCAATGGAAATCTGCTGCTCTTACTCCACTTTCTTTCTTTAAAATAGCTAACTGGATTAGCTTTCAAACAAAGAGACACAACAAGGCCTCTGCACAAGCTAATACAACCAAGCACCCACTTGTTGAGATACCGTATGGTTAACTCTGCAGCTACATTGACTGCATTGCAATTTATTGCATTCATTTGCTGCTCCGTTTTAAAGACATAGAAAGACTATTTTTTCCGTATTTGTTTGTGTTTAAGGACCTATTAACATGTGTGAGCATGCCTGTATGTGTGGTGTTGGTGTGGCAGTATGTGGACAGAATAATGTCCACTTCTTATCTTGATATGTTGTGGTGTTGTGCGATAAGCTCGCATTTTGTCAAATACAGTTTTCAGTGAAACACTGGGTGCAGAGCTGGGCTGTGTCTTCTTTTAATGCCTTACTGTCTTTCAGATTCAGGCGCTTTTTGAAATTAAAAGCTGCGCTTGTGTTTCTTTGTGGTTTTGCTGCTTCCTTAACTTTTCATTTCTAGGTAGGTTTTTTTCAGTTGTTAATGAATGGATTTGCTGTGTTCTGAGGACTGGATTTGACGTATTTGTGGCGCCTGCTTTTCAGTTTTCCAGAATTTAGTTTCAGCGTTGGACAGATGACTGGCTGTGGCTCTGCTTTGACCCTGTGTGTCTTTGTGTCCTACAGGCTCCCTGCTCACTACGTCTACCCTCAGGCCTTTGTCCAACCCAGTGTGGTGATCCCTCATGTACAACCTTCTGCTGCTACAGCAACAGCTGCTGCTGCCACTTCCCCGTACCTTGACTATACCGGAGCAACGTACGCTCAGTACTCTGCGGCTGCTGCAACTGCTGCCGCCGCCGCAGCTGCCTATGAGCAGTATCCGTACGCGGCCTCACCAGCACCGACAAGCTACATGACTACAGCAGGGTATGGATACGCTGTCCAGCAGCCGCTCGCCACTGCTGCCACCCCAGGAGCTGCCGCCGCTGCTGCAGCCTTCAGCCAGTACCAACCTCAGCAGCTCCAGACAGATCGCATGCAGTAAAATCATAAAAACTACTATAAATGAGGAAAGCAGGGGAGGTCCCCTCTTCTCATGAAGAGTGCAAAGTTAGGAGGGGGAAAACAGTAGAAGCTGAATGATGGTTGTCACTCCCAGGTTTTATCTTAGCAGTCCTTCTACCAAAGAGCCTGAAGAAAATCACCAAAAATGTGGAGACAACTGAGGGATTGCTCTATATTTTATTCAAGCGAGATCAGTATTTTGTCACTATTGAATATATTTGAATATTTAATATTTATTCAGTAGTAGATATATTTAATGTTAATTGAAGTAGACTCACTGGATTGCTGAATTGCAGAATTTTGTGTATATATATATATTTCAGTGGAATTTGTATAAAATTCCCATTTACATTTATGTCTTATGATCAGGTTTCTTCCCCACTTCTTTGAAAACAAACCAAAACACTTGCATACAGATATGAGAACAGCATGTTACATCATCATGCAGTTTTCAGTATTTCATAGTTTTGGACCAGTATTTTGTTTGACAAAGCTATGCAGACACTGATAGAGAAGTTTTGTTAGGATTGTTCTCTTTTTTTAATAACTGTTTGGAGTGAGATAGATTAGACATCCTCAGCTAGTTCATTTTAAAATGTATTTTCTTGGTAGCACATAAGACAAAATGTTGAAGTGACAGCTGAAGCTGGTAAAAGCACTCACTTTTCTTCCCTTTTTAAATTGCACCTCAAGTAAACTCAGCAGAAGGGAAGAAACATTGTTGAATGTGAATCTTTCATTTTGAAGAAAATGTTTCATAATGTGCCTTTTAAATTATGCTATTTATGTATTTATTATGGAGCCTTACAGTAAAAAACCCTTTATTTGTGTTCATGTATTATTAGTATGAAGCCTACTACGGAACATGTCCACATGTGCTGCTGCATTTCTCATGATCAAGAGCATATGTTGTTTAAGAATGTTTAAACTTGGCTTAACAATGGCTATACTATGTATAAAGAACAATATATGAGTGGAAAGGTAGCAATAACTCCAATGCTTTTTTTGTTTTCTGTAGATTTAATGTTGTCTAAAATATATCCTTAATTCTTTAATGTCGCTTTTTATACTTGACCAGTTTGGTAAAGGACAGTGTGACAACTGTTAACTTTTTGAATTTTTTACATTTGATGTCTTTGACGTTAAATGTTTTCTAATGCAAGGTCATCACCCATTTCACCTTGCATTTTGTAATGCATGACTCAAAATAATGCAACAATTTAATTTGCGAAATAAAAGGAAATTTACCTTCAACTTTTTTTTTTATTCTTCTGTGTTTTATGTAATGTTTATTTTGCTCACAGCCTTTTGTTTGTTTGATGAATTCATGTAACGTGATGGTCACAGTTGTGGATAAAGAATATAAAACGGTAGCAGGTGATGGTAAAATGATGCATGTATACATCTTAAACAACTGCCATGAAGTATAAACTGCGTCTACTGCTCTGTTAGGTGCTGTTATTGTGTTATTAGTGCCACTACAATGCGAAGCACAGCTCATATATACATATATATTTAATCACCCCAGTCATATAATCCGACCACTGTCAGCAAGAAAGAGTCTCATGTTTCTGTGATATATATTTCAAAAGAAAGATAGAAACTCAACTGGCAAGGATATGCGTCCTGCATCTCAGGAGGCCTGGTCACTAACTAAGAATGAATTTCACATTTTTGCAAATTGATCTAAGCTTGGAGAGTTCGGTGCTTGCCATTGTTTACATCATTAATTAGCCTAGATGTTTGTGTAACATGAATTCAGCCTGCATGGCTCCAAAATAGTATAAAGTCCCTCATCCTACTAAGCACCACCATTAGTTCAAAGAAGCCATTTGCCAGATTCCCTTGTTTTGTGTAATGAAATATGAAAAACTTCTAATAACCAAAAATGTAAGACATTCTTGCTATATAAATCCTGATAAATTTACATCTCAAATGCTAAAATTGAATTTGATACAGCAACATCTTGGCTCTCCTGTGGCTAAGCAGAACCAAACAGCTGACATGTGCACTCATCTCAGGGACCTCTGGTCCCTGCAGTCCTGTCCCTGTTTTGTTCACCTGTTTTCAATCCTTCACAACAGTCCCCACCACTTAACTCTCTATATAACTGTGACGAAACTTTTGATGTGACTTTGGGTAGGAGCAGAGGCAGTTGCATGGTCTTGTATTCCAAGACGGTTTGGTCCAATGAAACAAATGCTGTCTTGTGACTCCCCCTGGTTGCCCTCAGCTTTTTTACTCCCCAAAGCTGTGGACTCCTGACACCTGCTGGTTCATGATGGTCACTTCATGATGGACAAGTACTTCGTTGCCAAGATACTGAAGTACCTTTCTGATCCCTTTGTTTATGCTGGCGGATGTGGGCTTTCTTTCGCAAAGTATTTTGCGGAAATTACTTTCGACTGTAGTTGAGCATTCACCACTGACAAGAGTGCCGCCCCCCAAAATGTTTTGACATCATCAGTGAAGTCATAGCCTAAATATGACTGGGAAAGTTGGACTTGATGAAATTTCCAGTATGTCCAAATTGACCCCTTATAACATAATAGTGCCTGGAATCAAGCACTTTAAATCATCCAAATTTAGTGGATACAGTGTTATACTATGAATGTACAGTACTATTTTGTCTCGCACGACAAAATCTGTAATCACTCAAACGCTAAGTAGTTGTCAGATGAAATGAATGCTCTCAAGTGGTTCCCACCATTCCGGTTCTACCATCCATTCCGTGTGACGTGAACGCGGCATCACATTCCACCGCAGCCCGGGGACCGGAGGGGGCGGTAGTTTCCTGGCAGTTACCCGTCGGATAACAAAAAAAAAAAATCAATGTGGAAGAAAACCTCCAAAAAAACCAAAACAAACCACAGATCATTTTAGAGGAAGCCACCTGCGGTCGAAACTTTGATCGTGAGAATTGTGAGTAGTCTTTAAAGACTTTAGCTATCCTAACGTTGTTTATCTTTTGTTGCATTTGCAGCTGGCTAACGTTATTGTTTGGTGAACGAACATGGGCAGCTTGCGTTGTAACATTTTTTTTGTTTTTCTTTTCTTTTCAAAAATGCCTCGTAACCCCTAATTATTAGTCATCTGTGTTGATTAAAAACAAACAGCCAGTTGAATGTAGATTTTTTGTGGGGCTAAATTGCCGTTTCTTGGCTGAAAGTGGAATTTGTGGCCTAAATTTTAGTAGCTAATCACTCGCGAGTTCCGGGGAACCTCTGGGAAATTTGACGGAAGCTCATCAGTTGACTTTTCATGGGGGAGCCGACAGAGACATGTGAGGATATGAGGTCAAGCATATTTAAACGCGACTGGTTTGAGTTAGGATTAAGGTTAGATTCTAGTAAAGCTAAGACGAAACCGATATCGACGGATTTCTCTTTTCCATGAATCTACTCACGAGCGTTTGAATATAATGCTAACTAAAATCTAAATGGTGTTGATCGGTATGAAACCCGGAGCCTAAACATTCATTTAAGCCTGATGTAGGTTGCGGTTTTATTATCGATTGGACAGTATATACAACGCGTGAATCTGACAATTCTTATCAATTTTGATATCCACCGGAAAGCACCATCGTCATGTGACCACTTTGACGTCACATCGAGTCTGTGTATTTGTGGTAGCCGTCTTCATCTTAATCAGGGCTGTTTATTTAAACCTTTCACATGACTCGTACTTTTCATTTTATTTTTTTCAGCGCTATCCCAATAATCCAGCGCTTCACTCGGTCTCTGCTCCAAACCAGAGATGAGCACCGAGAAGACTGAATATACTCCCGTGCAAGGGGGACCCCCTCCGCCTTTCTCCCCCGGGATGGCAGCATATCCTCCCGCATATGACATGAACATGCCAGGCCCAAACATGCTCATGGGCCCTGCTCCCGGTGGTCTCCCTTTCCCTCCACCAACTGCTTTTGCACCGGGTGTACCTGGAGCTTTTGGGATCGCCACGAACCCCCAAGGCGGCTATGGCGTCAATCCGTCTTTTTCACCATATTCTCCACCAGTCCAGGGTCCTAATGACAACTTCAATAGTTAGTATTTTTAACATTTTGTCATTTGTATTTATGTGGTAATAGATTCGTAGCATAATTGAATCAGTTTAATGTTTCTGGTTGTTGCTATTTCAGATGATGTCTACCCTAACCAGGATGATCCACCAGCCTTCCATGAGAATCAAACCTTTGATTTTGGATTAGATAACAAGACCATAAGGAGAGCCTTTATTCGAAAAGTAAGGAAACAGATTGGTCGAAGAAAAGGGAAAATCATATAGAACATGACAGTTGATTTTATCCATTTGCTTACTCAGAGTTACTTAGTTGTTTCCTGCCAGGGCTGCAAAATACATGTTATGATACACAATAATGAAATCGCATATCCTTTAATGTAAAAAAACACAAAACATTTCCCAGAATTTGCATCAAAATCAAGGCAATCTAAATCAATTTTCATTAAATCAAGTTTTTTGACATATCCTGTTGATGAATAAACAAACAATAGGAAAAAAAACAACGTAATACTTTTTGAAGTGATTTTTTAGGGCATTTTTGCCTTTATTGTGATAGCACATTGAGAGAGAGACAGGATACAGGAAAGCTGAGGGTCTGACTCAAGCCATGGGTGCTGCAGTTAGGACTAAGCTCATGTGGTATGCGCTCTACCAGTTGAGCAAACAAGATGCCCCAACACAACTTTATACTTAAACTTCTTGGTGGAGTTAATCACATACATTGATGCATCTTGAGACATGATTATTATGATAATTCTTTGTTAGAAACATCATCAGTGTCTGCTGCCTAACACTCCACTCTTCATTCCAGGTATTCTTGGTGTTAACGGCTCAACTGTTGGTGACGTTCGCCTTTGTGGCTGTTTTCACCTTTGTGGAAGAAGTCAAGAGATTTGTCCTGGTGAATGCCTGGACCTACTTGGTGTCCTATGCTGTGTTCTTTGTGTCAGTGTGTGTGATCAGCTGCTGTGGAAACGTACGCCGAAGACATCCTTGGAACCTGGTTGCATTGGTAAGCCTGCACAGACTTTGTTTTTTTCAAAATGGCAAAGAGAGAGGGGAGGAGTTCCAGTTCAGGAAGTACCATGTTATCTGATCTGGACTGTTGTTGTTTAGGGAGAAAATATACAAAGTTTACATTTTCTTTTCCATTGTTTTAAAATAAAATTCAAATCACTGTTGTAACAAGAAAATGATTAACCTTTTTCTTTTTCATTCCTTGAAATCATAACCTACTCAAACTTGTGCTACAGTGCTGATGTATTTCCTGTGTCTTGTTTTCAGTCCGTCCTGACTCTCAGCATGTCCTACATGGTGGGAATGATTGCCAGCTTCCATGAGACTGACTCAGTGATCATGGCAGTGGGCATCACAGCAGTTGTGTGCTTCACAGTGGTCATCTTCTCTCTGCAGGTTTGTATCTGTCAATCCCTGCCTCTTGTATGTATGTATGTATGTCATGTACATTGACTCCACACTCTGATATGGAGGTAACCTCAACATCACTATTGGATTCTTCCTACAGACCAAGTACGACTTCACTTCCTGCCACGGCGTGCTTTTCGTCTGTTTAATAGTCCTGATCTTCTTCGGCATCCTCTGCATTTTCATCCGTGACAGGATTCTACACATTGTGTATGCTGGACTGGGAGCTTTGCTTTTCACCTGTGTAAGTCCTTGGGCAAATTGTTTTCTCCATGATTTACTATATATGATGATAATGAAAGCAGCAGTTATTGACCTTGTTAAGTGTAATTCTGACACCCATGCATTGAAATATATGGGGGGGTTTGACGGGGGTTGAGGTTTCAAATCAGACCCATCACCTCTGGTGTGACTTGATAGAACTTGAAGGGATCATTGTGATTGATCAGTGGTTTGATTTTTGACTGAAAATCTTGAATGATACCTCTTGGCACTGCTTTGTGGCATTTTTAGTAACCGAATGTCAATTCAGATCAAAGTTTCAAACTAAAAAGTCTAACTCTGAAATGCATTCAAGATACCCTGTGGAGTGTGTTTCAGCATTTCATACAAAAATGCTTAACAGGCTAATAAAACAAAACACCTTAGTTAAAACATCAAGGGGAGACATGTCCACTGAAAGAAAGTAAAAATTCCAAAGACAAAAAAAGAAGATCTGATTTTATATAATGCATAATAAAACTCTAAATATGCTCTTTAATTAATGTTCTCACAAACACACCTAAATCATCTTCTGCAAAACAATATTT